AAATAAATAAATAAAGTCACCCAGTCTATGGCCATTTGTTACAGCTCTACCAGGGCACTAATGTAAAACCTCAGAATAAAATGCCCATATTTAGACATTGTGTCTAACAAGAAACACAAGAATCTCCTGTTTATCAAAAATCTCTGGAAGAGGTTAATCCTTTTTTAGCAACCAGTACAGAATCTACAATTACAAAATAAAAATTCTACCTACTTTAACATGAGGGAAAAAGATCTTTAACATTTTATTTTTAGAATATAAACAAAGACATAAAAATTGACAGCACTACTACATACTAAAGGGTCTCCCATAAGACTTTTAGATGTTTTCAAACATGACATATTTGAAATACTCAGAAGAATGCAAATGTAAGTTTAAACTTTTTTGAATTAATCATGATGTTACGTTACTTACAGACTTATGGTAACAATCAATAATGCATACTTCAGAGTTAAGAGTTTGAGGAACAAAAGAGACTCAAACTTGTATCAAGTTGTATTGCTGTCCGTCTGCTTTAAAAGACCTCTAGAGAAAAAAATCAACAGCGAGGAAACTAGTCTACACTGCCAGCACAAAGCAAAGGCCTCCATACTGCAGCATTCAGGAGCACAGAACAGCAGAATGGCCTGTGGTCTCTCTGTGGACTCTTAACTTGAAATGAAAGGCCCAACCCATACACATGTGCGGTTCCAAATGAATGCTCTACTGCTTTATCCTTAAAGGTAAAAAAAACACTCACATCACAATGCAAAACATCAACAGTTAAAAAGAAAGCAAGAAAAAAAAAAAAAAAAAAACATCACAATGCAAAACATCAACAGTTAAAAAGAAAGCAAGAAAAATACAAAAAAAAAGTAATCCCACAAGAAAAGATGTGTCTGTGAACTCAAGTAATCTTATTAAACCTTAATTGTATACTAAGAGTCACTGGAAAAGACAGGACATACCCTGAAGAAAACAATGCTATAGAAAAGCGGCAGCAACCTAAGGCAAATGTGGCGTTTTTCTTTTAAGACTAAAGATGTTAATATGTGAGTCATTTTTCCTAAACTAAAGCCTCAGTATTTAGGTGTAATTGCAGTGTTAGTACTTAGTGACAAACAAGTGGGTTTTGTGTTGCAGTTTGGGCATTCCTCTCTAAAAGGTTCGCCAATGTTCTGCTACAGAAATACAGTAAATGAATGAATGAGTAGAGAAACGAATGAAATGTACTTAGAACCAGAAGGAACGCTCTCAAATGGTGCTCAGGGATCACTGCTGGAACGTTACCTCTTTTGGCTTTTGTTAGTGTCATTATGACAGTGAAAGTAAGTCAGAAAGCTACTAGATACTGCCTAAGACACTGGGCTATTGTCAGAGATGTTTTTTTAAAAGATAAAAAGAAAACTCTGATATGAGCATGCTTGCTCATTTATATTTAACATTCAGAGTGGATTTTAAAAAGAAAATCACATAAGATGATGCAAACAGAATTTTTTAAAATATTCTCTCAAATTCCCTTTCCATAAATTCACACAACGGACACCCACACCAAAAATCAGAAGCACTACAAGAACACAGTCTCTTTTAGCCTCTTCCCAAATAACATTTTACCCTCTGCCCTTCATTCCAATGCGGCATCTTCTTCAACACTTGTTATCATTCCTAGCCACCTTTTTCATTTCTCTTTGTTTTCCTTCATTATCCTGACTTCTCAATATAGGAAATGTTGGTTTGTTTATATATACTTTTTACTTTTATATCAAACTTCTCAATACTGTGTTTACAGTGAAGTTATCATGACAGTACTACTTAAAGAATGAAAAATAACAAAGACAATGTCCTTCAAAAACCTCTTCTGACTAATTAAGAAAAATTACTCTCTGCTAGACAAACAGGAATATCAACAACATGTATACCACACTGACACTAGGTTACCACACGTTTGTTAAGGTTTTTAATTACACATGCAAGCATTTTTAATTTTATCCTATTTTGCCTCATAAATTTCAATCATAATGTAAACCACAACTTTATCTTAACACTTCCAAGGTCACTTAATTTTAAAGTAAGTCTTCCAAATAAACACAGTTTTATATAAATGGCTCCAGGTTATTTTTAATTAAGCTTAATAATCCATCCAAAGTGTCATGTATTCTTGGAAAAGTTACTGAAGGATTGGTGAGAATAAATAAAATACAAACACTAATGAGTATAAAAAGCTACCTGCTGAGAGTCATTTGACTTGAAGGCATCCTTAAGAATTTCAACTGCTCTGGATGGATCAACATACTTCCTTTTGGTACCAACAAGAAGTGCAAAAAGATACCTCAGCTCACGCATGAAAGGCAAATTCCGATGTTCCTATTGAAAAAAAACCCAAAAACCCTTCAGTGAAGATTAACAAAATTTTTACTGTTAAACAACTATTCATTTTAATAATAACGAAATTAAGCTGACAAAGATCAGGGATAAATCCAGCACTCTGTAACATATTTAAAATGGAAAGTGTTTATGTCATCTACAGTACTCAAGAATTCAAGCTCAGAAACAGCAAAGGACCTACAGTAGGGTCACAATTTCTGCACAAATACCACATATTCACAGCAAATCATGTCGTTACACAGCCAACAATATCCTCCTCGTTCAAGTCTGGTTATTATAATCCTTCCTATTCAGCAAGGCCCAGCTGCGGCTGACAAAAGCAACAATAACACCCAGCGTTCAAAGAGTGCTCCTACATGCCAGGCACTATTCTAAGTGCTTTACCCCAATAAACCCATTTAAGCCAAAATTGCTCTTCCAATCCAAAAGCATCTCTAGACACTTCCAAGGTAACAACCTCTTCAAATTCTACATCTACAGAGATACATGCCTTTCTCTATGAATCACCAACTGCCACTGCCATGTTATATACTAATTATTAGACTAACAGTAGGGTCTTGTCTAATTACTAGTATATAATTTAATAAACATTAATGGCTATTAATGGCTATTTGCTTATCATAGTTATTTAAAATTACTTATTTATACGTTATTTTATAACAGTATTAAATATATTTAATATCAATAATTTTTAAATTCAATTGTTTAATAAGTATATTAACCTGTATAAAATCAAACTAAATCCTAATAATATGGGGCTAATATAACACCCACTCTGTAGTCCTTGAAATATTCACTTTTATTTTCAATATGACTATAAGCTTCTCAATGACCAAGATTTCAATATCTCTTCTACAACTTTTAGACACACAAAGTAGGCAATGAATTTTTACTGGCTGATTAAACTAAACCCTTCAGAAATGTTTCATGACAACAAATCAAACAAGCAGTCCTTATATTTAGTTCTTATGCTACTAATTTTAATAAAGCTTAAAAGCAGTTGAAATGAGAAAAATTTTATCATGTCATATAACTAGCATTCTAAACGTTAAAAAAACTCTAAAATGCATGTATATTTATACAATTACTGCCCTGAATAATATCCACATAAAAATAGTTTCTCCCAAAAGGACTCCTAAGAAATAGGCAGGCAATAAAACTGGTTCAAATGCTTACAATCAGATCCAAAAACTACACCCACCATTAAAACAATTAGAAAGTACACTAACTCTGATATAAAAATGGTAACTTCTAAATGCAGCTTATATTCAAATATCCTGAATTCTATCATCAATGACAAAGGGTAAGTACTAAACTTCTAAATGAGAAACCTAATTCATGTTTTCTCTTGTATGTCCTACTCCCTCCTCACTAACTACCTTGTTTTAAAAAAAAGTTTAGAAAGTATAAATACTATGAGTTTTAATCCATAAAATTATTTCCAAAATTACCTTTAGTTTTCCTGACATCAACTTCTTTAATAATCATTGAACCTTAAAAAAAGGCAGATTTTTACAGACATCACTTGTCATGTAATAAGGATGAAAGTAATGAGTTCCAAAAATTAAGAGAAATTCTACTGAGAAACCATTTAAAAAGAAAAATACTTTAGTGTAATGAAAAAAGGAAACTTTTTCTAACAAAATCAGGGCCTGAACTCAGGGACATGTGCATGGTAGGGGAGTGCTCTACTGCTGAGCTACATCTCCAGAACAATGCAGTATTTTTGTCTCAGCTAACTTATGCAACTAGAAAATCTTTTTGAATTTCAAAAGGTAAAACTATAATGAAGATCAGCTACTCCATTTGACTAAATTACTAACGTATTACCATAGAAATATCGGAACACATCTTAAGGGACTTGCTGAGAAATATGACAGATATACACTACTTTAAACATTACAAAGTATACAACTTTATACTTTATGAGCTTCAAATATGTATGTATCCATGAAAGCATCACCACAATCCAGATAACATACCTATATATCACCTCCAAAAGTTCATCCTTCCATCCTTTGCTAACCATCCCTAAGTTACTAGAGTCACTTTGCCTCTTCTAGAAATTTATGTAAGTGGAATGCACATTATGTGCTTAGTTTAGTCTGGTTTCAAGCAATCGGCAGTTTTTGTCTTTAAGTATATTTGAAATACTTTTTTTATAAATAGGCTTTAGCAAAATGAGAAAGTTCTCTATCAAAAGTTTATTTTATCAAAATGAGAAATGTTCTCCTTAATATCTTGTTTATAGATTTTAGCATAAGGGTTAGTGCTAGTCAAATCTTTTTTCTTCATCTACTGAGATATATACAGTTTTCTTTAGTTTGTTAATATAGTGAGTCAAACTGTTTTGAATGCTAAATCAATTTTGCATTCCTGTATAAACCATACTTCCTTCAAGAAGTATTACTCTTTCTACCATAGGACTCTATCTTCAAAAAAAAATTTGCTTTGACATTTTGTTTCCATATTCATGAGGAATACTGATCTGCAGTTTATCTTCTTAAAAGCATTTTTTTACTTTTGATTTCAGGGTAATGTTAGTTTTTGCACTCAATGTGAGAGCGAGCATTTTGTGAATGGGACATAAATTTACTTTGAAATAATAAATGATGGGTTACAGTGACACCTTTTTAAAAAGTGTGTCTTTTGTCACCCCAAACGAATATAGCACAAATCAGTGACTGGTAACTATGTTTCCTTACCATATTTGTTCCAAAGGTTTCAAGTTATAGTACTTTCCATTGTCACTGTGCTGAATTAAAGAGTAGATTTGTGGAACAATCTTATGTAAAAATGTACAGTATACTCCTAAGTATCCTTTAAAGAATGGAAGCGAGTGATTATTTTTTCAGTGCCCTAAGCCAAAGAGACCCCTAAACACGTCTTGAGAAAGGTGCTGATTACACATGTCCCTAGCATGCACTGAACAGTCTCATATCTTCATAACTGGCTCTGGTAGATGAACATGGTAATGACTATTTCTTAAATAAGATCACAAAACTAATGTGGTCTTATTCAACAGTATGAAAACATAGAAGAAATTAAAGCATAATAATAAATATAATAAACATAATACTAAATAATAAACATAATAATAAATTCTATAAAGTTAATATGTACAAATATAAATACATAATTGAAAATAATTCCAGTAATGTCAGGAAAATTGCACAGACTTCAATGGAGACACAGGAAGAGAGACCTGTGGATATCAACAGATTGTAATAAAGGAGACAGCAGTCCAAAAAGTTCCACATCAAACATAATAACTAACAGGGTCTGCTTAATCTCCCTAGCAGTTCCCTTTTGAAAATGAGTTACAGCCTGACATTTTACAACCTGGAGATTACAGCCTGAAAAGCTGGTTGTAAATCAAGTTATATTCTCTCAAATGTACATTATAAATGTTTCACACATTTACAGAAAAGGTGGTTTGAAAATTAAACACTGAAATGAAAATACAGTGTAACCTAATAATTTACCACTACAACAACAGGGTCAGCACTTTACAGAAACCGAAAACTTTACTTTCTTCATCTTTGCAACCTGTACAATTAGTACTAGTGGCTCTTTATAACAAGATCATTTCTGTGGTCATTTTTTTTTCTTATTAAGTATGAATGTGCACATCCAAATACGACTATCTTTGAAAGTCCTATTTTTTAAACTTTCATATGTAAAATTATAGCTGACAACAAATATTTTCTGTATATCAGTTACTTTCAAACCCTTTAAGTGTTTTACCTCACTTGATCCCCACAGCAACTCTGAAATAATTACTGTTATATCTACACTTTACAGACAAGGAAACTGCAAAGAAAGAGATCGAGGTACTTGCTCTGGGACTATACCTAGTGCCACAGCGATGCGGCTCTGGTGTCTGTCTCTCCTACAGTGCACTGCTTATCTAACAATGCTACTTCCAAAACAGAAGCTTGTGCTTACACTGCAAAATATCAGCACAAAACCTATTTTTAAAAAAGTCCTCTACACAATCAAAAATTATTTTCACACAAGTTTTCAGAAGTCAATGGAGGAAAGATTTTGAATTATAGATTATACCCAGCCTATAAAGATTACTGACATTTGACAATCCAAAAAAGAAAAACAAATTACTAAACTGACACAAAAAATTGGTATACTACTCTGACATATACACAAGAAAAATCCGTATTTGTAATACACGGACAAAGAACAAGAAATCATTGCAGTACACACAAATGAGTGGACATGCAAATTCTAACAGATTTAGATTAGATGGAACAAACATCCCCAAAGCAATCACAGATAAGAGAATATAAGTAGAGGTCCTCTGTTTAAAAGTCATTTATAGTTTTTACCTTTTGGTTTCGAGGTAAATCTTGAGCATTTGAAGGAGGCTTATAATTCAGAACTAATCTTCTAAATTCCAAAAGATTGAATAATGACTGAAAAAGAATAAAAATTTATGATACCTAAAGGAAAATTCTATAAAGAGAATTGTGAAAATGGCTGGTCTCACAGACTTATTCTTGACAACTATGCTCTTTATACACAGAACTGTCACAACCAACAAAGAAGGCCTATTTTCTCTCTGGGAAAAACTCTACTTTCTTGGATTCAGCCACACTATTCTTCACAGTTAACAATACTTATTCTACTGCAAAACACAAACTCATATGAGGAAAACTTTTTTAAAAAAACTATGTATTACTAAAAGCTGTTCCTTTATATTAGTCTGTATTTGACATGCAGTTTCTGAAAATAAAAGGCACACAACACAAAATAAGAAATAACAAAAATGAGTGCAAATAAATACATTCAATAGATGCTAGGTGACAGAGACACAAAGAAATTTTACATTATCTCTATGCCACAACAACATAATAACCTAAAAATATGTAACAACAGCAATGTGACTCCACAGGACAATAACACTGATTATGGGAGGTCAGAATGAGAATAGATGAAAGATGCTCTTGAAAAGACTTCCTCAAAGATTGTTTTTAAAAGAGTAGTTTGCAATCTATTAATGTCATAATAATAAACACTGTTTAAAAATGAGATAAATTATAGTAAGAAATACCTCAATGTATTACACTCAGTAAATTCACCAAAGTGTTTTAGAACGTTTTTCTTACGGATATTTTACATATATGGTATGCAGCATTAGTCAGCTTTCCCGTCCCAGAGACAAGATATAATACCCAACAGCCACAACCCAGAGAAGGAAAAATGTATTTAGCTCATAGCTCAGGGGATTCAGTCCAGGGCTGACAGGTTCTAAGGCAGGGACTTCATGGCAGAGGTAAGCTGCTCAGTTCATGGCGGCCCGGCAACAGTGCCAGAGAAAGGGGTTGCGGGGTGGGGAGACCATAATACCCAAGGCCATGACTTTCCGAGTCACCCAGACACACCTAGGAGAGACTCTACAAACCTGCCAGGCCTTTCTTAGTATACTGAACTTGACAAATCAGGATTAACATTCAAACATGTATATGTGTAAAACATTTATAATGGGAAATATATTTCTTGGTCACAGTTTATAAAGTTTAAAAATTGTTATACAACAGTGCATTACATTTTATAAGCAATAATGAATTAAATTTTATAAAACATGAATTAGCCTAGTGGATAGAAAGGAAGGTAATACCACAAGTCAATGGCAGGACAAAGTTTTTTATCAGTAGTTGGGGACTTAAGACCTCTGGTTAACTATATATAAAGAAATTAAATAAATAGGTGGATTCTGATTTAAATAAGGAAAATAAAATGAGTCTCTGATAGCAGAGACTATGGGAAGTTGTGATCAGCTTGTGACATGGCAGGATTTTTGAATGAAATGTGAGTACATGAAATCATTTATTCATTCTTTTTTTTTCTCTCTTTTCTTTGAGACAAGATCTTGCTGTGTTGTCCAAGTTAGTCTCAAAATCCTGGGCTCAAGTGGTCCTCCTGCCTCATCCTCTCAAATAACTGGGTCTATAAGCACACATCAGCACACTCGTTCACTTATTCATTGTATACACACACACACACACACACACACACACACACACACACACACATATTATGACATGTTTTGTGACAATTATGATCTTAAGACTACCGGTTAAAACAATGGCAGTATAGCCAGTTCCTGGAATTCAAGTGCACTGAAACTCATAAAATTTGGTACAATTTGACACGAAAAAATATCTTCCCAATATTGTCCTCTGTTTGGCACTCCATACACAAGCTAGAATGTGCTGCTGTCAACTGCCTCATGATGTGCTACCCTTTCTGGTCAAAGTAATTTGTTTGGTGCTAGTCATTTTTTGGTAGGCATCACACCTCTTAAGAACCAGTTAACAGTGAGTATGTGGGTACCACTGCATATGCTATAAATTTGAAAGGATATGATACAATTAACAGTAGAGCAAGATCAGAACTTTTAGAGAAAAGGCAGAATTTTAAAGCTAGCAGGGAGAAAAGTTTTTGAAAGAGACAAAGTACAAATAGTAAGGATATCAGAAAAACAAAGGAATACAGAAAGCTAGGACTTTAAAATGAGCCTGTATGTCACACTAACTTGTGGAAGTTTAAAAAATACTAACAACAAGGGCCTCTTAACAAAGCCTTAAAGTACCAAAGAAGATTTTGGTATATATCAAAGATTCACTGGCACAATTTAAAACTCTTAAGTAGTACTGCCACATTCCAAGAAGGCAAATGCAGCAAGATAACCTCTGGATAGGCTGGATCTAGAAATCCCCATGAAGCTTCATGAGATCATAGGTGGAGCCCTCTGGATGGGGTTGGATCTTAGGTGTGTGACGGTAGGATTAAGTGTGTGTGACACTCAGACTAGTCTACTAGTTGGTTTACCATAGTTCTGGGCATGGGTACTGGGAAGCCCCACCCTCCGTGCTGGTGGCACCACCCAAAAGGCTTGTACTCTGGATAGGATAAAAGGAGAAAGGAGACTGCTGCTTGCCGTTCTGCCTGTCACACCATGACCTCATTCTCCTCTGTGTGCCCCTCTGCCATGCCACCCTGCCTGGAGCCGGCTGACTACAGACTGAAACCTCTACAAACTGTGGGTCAAAGTAAACCTTTCTTCTTTAACTTGTGGGTATCCGGTATTTTGTCCAAGCAATGAGAAAGGTAACTAAAACATTTTAATTGCAAAGTCACAATTAACAGTCTTTAAAAAAATAAACACAAAATATCAGTCAATTTTTGTAAAGAGTAATAATTAAGGGCATGCTACTATTTGAGATTGTTTTATTTAAAGTTTTGTAATCTGAATGTCAACAGAATAAGGACAACTATCATCATTATGTGGAAAACATTTAAAAAACAGAGATCAAGCTAAACATATTAAAAAGAAAAATTATTCCAATTTAAGAATACAGTGGATATTTTCATATACAAATAGCTACCATACTAGAAAAAAGCTAAGGAAACATTTTACTGCCTTCTAAATTTAAATGGAAATGTATTATTCTTCATTTACAGTATTTATTCTTCATATCATTTATATTTACATCCTGAGAATTATTTGTAAATCCATGACAACCTCAAATAAAATGCTTTTTCATATGAAAAATGATTTAAATGTATATAATACTGTGAATAATATTTTCCAGTATATAAAAATAAACCTAATCAGACCTACAAAGAGACAGGTCTGGTTCCCTGTCTTGGTTACAATGCTTTCTGGAATCTGCAAGGAAATACAAAGTATCTTTTCTGCCCCAACCTCAACTACTAACAGAAAACAAGGAGGAAGAGTTACTTTTAAGAAAGTAAGACCTGTAAGTAGTGCTGTCTTATTAAAATTACACACTGGAGTAAAGAATGGAAAGGGTGAGAGGCAAAGTGCCACCCCCAAACTAGTTTACAAGACAAAGGGATATGAAAAGCATGCTAACATTTTTGTTTAAAGCACAAACATAGCCCACTGACTTGTTATCATGCAGGAAACAAAAGGAGAATAAAGAGCCTCACCTGAATGACAGCACTGAACCAACAAGTATTGCCGACGTTCTTTAGCCCAACAGGAGTTTTGTCCTGTCTTTTTCTATCATAAGGATTTCGAGAATCCTTCCAAACTTCCGTGGGTGTCCTCCTCAAACATGCCTTATTTTCTGCTATGCTGGCTTCAAGAACTCTTAAGCAAGGGAGAGAAAATGGTGGGGGAAAAAGAGTATTATATAATGCTATACCCCATCAACAGCATACCAAATGCTTTAAGCATTCTGGTTACTTAAAACTCTGGACAGCGTGCCTGGGGAAGTAACATTTAACACCAACATATATAGAAGTTATTTTTCTATAAAAGCACAGTGGTAGTAATGCCAAAAGACGAGAGAGGGGCTTGTTTTGTCCTAAGAAAAAAAATTTTCAAACACAAAAAGACAATGTTATTCAACAGAAAGTAAATGATGCTTCAACAAATTAGAGGTTTCGTATCAGGAGCACAGCACCTAAATCAATTTTCTTAGAAATCCTGTAGCAAAACAGATATTTACAATATCACATAACTACAATTTTACAATAATCAGTTTGAATTATCAAGAAAACATTAAAAGCTGACAAGCTTTACTCTCACTGATCATTAATTTCCTTTTATTAGAAAAAGGTAAATGAAGCAAGTTCTAAGATTCCTCTCAATTCAAGAGATCTATGATTCTATGACAGCTAAACAAAGGAAAAGAATACTTACATGTTTACTTCCTTAGTCAAAAGTATAGCTAGGGAAAAATCTAACAAAATATATTTCTGTGTATTAAAATAATAAAGTTATTAATTTTTGCAAAATACACTCACCTACAGAATATCTTAAATACAGTAAAAGCAGCAAAAGCAACACTATTTTAATTCATGGGGTTTCTCTTGTTCCTAAGCTTGCAACAATGTATCTACAAGGCATGCTCAAAAAGCAGGGTGAATACTTACACTTTTAAAAAGTGTATTACAGTAAAAACACATGGTTGTTCCTCCTCACACCACTCCCTCTTACTTCAACACTCTACTCCCACTGTTGTGACAACTTTCTGAAGTAGTCCTGGAAGTTCTTTCCCACAATCAGCATTAGCTGTACTGTCGTGGCTGCCTCAATCAATTCAAAACGTTTGGCTCTCATGGTCATTTTGACTGTGCAGAAGAGGCAGACGTCCCACAGTGCCAGAGCTGGTGAGTAAGGTGGACGAGGGTTCACCATGATGTTTTTACATGCCTGCATTTTCATTGGATGACCCCTGGCAGCATCATTTACTAATACAAAACCCTTGTACACAGAAAGTGTATTTAAGGGGCTGGGGATTTAGCCCAGCGGCAAAAGCGCCTGCCTGGCAAGTGCAAGGTCGTGAGTTCGGTTCCCGGTACCGGAGAAAAACCAAAAAAAAAAAAAAAAAAAGAAAGTGTATTTAAGTTTTTTATTGGCTTTTATAAATGGGAGTGTTTCCATCTGTAAGGTTTGATAGGATAACTGTCACAAGCAAAGGGGAATTATTTTGAGGGTAATAATGGTAATGTGCCTTTTATTATAATAAAACTGGTTTATTTAAATATACACCATATGTTTTCATTAGCTCTTAAGTAATTAGTGGAAAACCCTAACTCCTGAATACAAACTGTCAAGTACAAACTATCAAGTAAACTATGCCTACTCAAAAAATGTGTTACTGTTCTAAACATCAATAACCTTCCGATGTCTTAAGCCACTTTGTATTAATTACAAAAGCCTCCGCAAGAGGGAGTTTTTATAACTTTTTGGCTTCTCTAGATCTCTCTCATGCTAAACTACCTTTATTCTAAAGATTTTATCCAACAACACTGTCAAAATCATATTCTTTTATCTCTATAGTAATACTTAGAATATGAATATGAAGGGGAATTAAAATTTAAGTAAAGGCCCACCAAGAATGCCCACCAAAATCAAGTGGACATGCCCAGGCAAGCCTGATAACAGAACACTTCTTCCTTTGTTTAACCCTTGTCTTTATCATCTTTGTGTAACTGATGGCCTTGCAATGTAACTTGAGACTGATGATGGCCTTGCAATGGAACCTCAGATGTTTAACCTCCCTTCGTAACCCATGATGTCACTCAATCCTCCAATCATAATGTACCAAATCTGTAGCTGTACCTCCCATTTGCTCTCCCCTTAACAGCCTGGAAACCTCACTAGGCAGAGATCCAATGCTTTGGGAGTGATCCTAGTCAGGCCCATTGTAATAAAATTACTGTCTCCTAGATCTCCTCGGTGCAGTCTTCCTACATTTGTTCCATTTTGCCATAACAAAACTAGATGTAATTTAGTGAGAGTCCAAAATTAAACATTACTTAAAATAACCTAAAACATCGGAGAAAATAGGAATCAAAAAATATACATATATACTAAAAAAAGTGGTTAAAAACATGTTAAAATGTAAAGATCAAAGAAAAGGTTCACATATCTGTCACACTAAAAATACCCCAACTCTAGCAGCAGTACTACAAACCCAAAAACCAGATTTTACATGAAACTCAAGCTTTAAGAACTCCTGAGAAGGCATTTACTATAGTTTACATGAATTGTGGCACAAGAAAATTAGGATAGGGCTGAGGATATAGCTCAGTGGCACAAGCACCTCCCTGGTAAGCCTGAGGTTGTAAGTTCAATTCCTAGTACCAAAAAAAAAAGGTTGGGGGGGGGGTGACTACAAGAAAATTAGGATATATCTAGAACACCTCTGTGACCAGAAAGCTAGTCTGCAAGAATTCAAGAGAGATATAAAAAGTCCAAGAACCAACTTGAAAGTCAAGCTAAGGGCAAGTGGTACAGTTCGGCATTGTACAATACCACAATCATTACAATCAGTCTGAAAAAACTGATGTGTACAAGGAAACTAGTTTATGCTCAAAAGAAAAAAGTTAATGTACAATATAAAAAATAACTAAATACAAAAGACTACTGTAGCTATATAAAAACTTTTTTACTGACCTTTGTAAATGGGAGTGTTTCTATCTAGAAATTTCGTTCCATATATCTTGATAAATAGACATGAATAAACTAAAACATATAACGAATACTAAGAATAGTAGATCTAACACCATGAAGGGGGAAAAACAAGCAGCACCAGTCATCACACACGAAACAGAACAGGCAACTGACTAGTATTTGTGAACAGATACAATAACCTTTTAAAAAGAGAATTCTAACTTATATTTTAAAAGTATAAACTAGTCACAAGTAGGACAATCATACTCAATACTGAATCTCCTGGTAGATGAAACACTGCCATCATAAAGTACTCATTATAGTAAAACATTTTTAAAAACAAGCCTTCACCCGCAAAACTTATTATCTGCATGGGAACCACAGGAAGTAACAACATGCAACTCAGCCCCAAGATGCAACACCAAGTCTCATGTTTCCAACAGTCCACAGGACAACTGAAATTTGTAAGCCAGACCACCTGCAAGAGGTTTTTTAATTGCAGATCTAAAATTACTCATCCCCAAGAAGTTTTTGTTACGTGTTTTAAATACAATCCATTCCTTCATTCTCCTCTTCCAACAAGAATATACATGTACTTCTGGATGTATGTATATATATATATATATATATATATATATATATATAATCATTATATTAACTTAATAATTGAACTTTTCAGCTCCCCAGCTTCTCTCCTTCACCTGACTTGAGGGAATGCAAGGCCTCAGAGGTACTTTCTAGCACAAAATAGTCACCCGAACTGTTACAATGTACTACGAAGAAAGCTGAAAGTGAAAAGAAGTTAGTGATGAAAGACACTACCTTTGCGAAGCTCCTACACACCCTTCCTCACAGGGCAAAATCATAAATCTGGAATGTAATTGCTCACTGTTCCCGCAAGTCACATAAGATTAAAAAAATAAAACCCACATTTGTGTTTAGTACATCTATTAAATGTTAATACAGCTCAATTTTGTCATGGAAAGTATTATTATTTATAACAAAAACATAGGTTTTAAAGAAACAGGGTTCTTATAATATTCCTCAACTACACCATATGGTAGAATTATGGCACTAAAAGTTGGAACATAAAAGAAGATTGCCATAATTCTGAGACTTCACTAATTTAAAGTTTAAAATATGCTGCTCACTTCTGTGGCCTTACAACATGCTTCAGGAGGCTTCATCCCACCACCTCTTCTTGCACGCTACAGGACTTTATAAACGTATCTATCATGCGCCAGAAATAGTTACTGATCCACCAGTGTTTCTCATCAGCATCTGGTGAGTAGAAATAAAGATCTGCCTTACCTCTACACCATACATTAATAATAGTAGTGGCTAAACAAGTTTCTGAAGTAAATAGATAGGATATTAGATAGTACTTTTACTTTTTTTAAATCAAAAGCTAAATCTGTAACTCAAATAGCACTCTATTTCCAAGCCTTGTCCTTTTCTATACTTCAGTACTGGATGCATAAATACAAACTTTTCATGAAGCAAAGTCGTATATAAGGTTCCTTCCCTTACCTTCCCAGTAATACTTAGCAGACTGTGAAGTATAATGTACACAATAGCTATATTCCAGGTATTAAGACTGCCAATAGAGAGAATATAAACACTGCAAATCTCAAAGAACTCAGAAATAAGCTATAAAAATATGCAGCATGCTGAGAGGCAACCTCATAAGCCACAAATCAAAAGCCAGTCCTCAACACACATCACAGGCTTTCTAACCTTTTCCACACTGATGATGACCTTAACATTCAGTAGTATTAAGGACAGCAAAACTTTGTGCTATGTCTATTCCTTCCACATACTAAACAGAAATGTGTAAAGCATTTATGGTAAATGTTCACTTTCCCATTAAAATTATACTGTACTGTTTGGCAGAAGGAGTTATTTTGTGTTTTTATTTAAACTGCATACAACAGTAATGCTGACAACATCCAATCTTACCTAATTTCTTTTTAGAATAGCAGAGTACTCATTAAATATATATATATATAACATTCAAGTGGCACAGGTCAATCAGTACAGAAATGAAAGAAACAATCTGTTGATCTCTAAAAAACTAAATAATACCTAGTATTTTGACTGAAGTCACACTAAATCTGTGAGTGAAGTTAAGGAGAAATTAGTTGTTTTGTAATGTCCATGGTTCCAACTTATGAAACAGCACATAT